GTATCAGCCTCGCTGGGGACGTGAAAGCGACCGCTGCGAAGCAGGAGGAAAGGAGAGTGGAAAAATTTCAAAACTTATTTCTACCGGCAGAACAGGTTGGAAGATGGGTATTTATTGTTATTTATTGTTTTTTAAATCATCCTACAGGCATGTTGGATGTTTTATGTTTTATTTTGTTTACATGTTAGATAAATTTGAAAATGAAGTTTTGAAAAAAATCTGTAAAACTTGAAAAAAATCTGTAAGATTGCTCTATACCTCCGTATACGTGCAAAAGGACGCAAAATTCTTATAACCTACGGACAATCTGTACAAGTTGACATGTATGTTATTTATTAGCTTTCTGGGAAAGCAAATAAATCTAAGATTACCATAGTACCTTACACTGTCAAACTTTTATTTAGGGGTTCAAATTGAGGTGGGTGGGACATGGGGGGCGGGRKGCGCTTCAACTCTCCTAGGGCACCGAAATGGCTAGAGCCAGCACTGCTCCACAGGGTCAATGTACAGTACATGGCTGGGTGTGGAGAAGCTCCAAAGAAGCATACCACCCAGACTGTTGCATGCCCAGAGTGAAGCAGGGGGGTGGATCAGTGATGGTTTGGGCTACCATATCTTGGCCCAATACTTGTGCTAGATGGGCGTGTCACTGCCAAGGACTACCGAACCATTCTGGAGGACCATGTGCATCCAATGGTTCAAACATTCTATCCTGAAGGCAGTGCTGGGTATCAGGATGACAGTGCAACAATACACACAGCAAGACTGGTGAAAGATTGGTTTGATGAACATGAAGGTGAAGTTGAACATCTCCCATGGACTGCACAGTCACCAGATCTAAATATTATTGAGCCACTTTGGGGTGTTTTGGAGGAGCGAGTCAGGAAACGTTTTCCTCCACCAGCATCACGTAGTGACCTGGCCACTATCCTGCAAGACTTAAAATCCCTCTGACCACTGTGCAGGACTTGTATATGTCATTTCCAAATCAAGTTGATGCTGTATTGGCCGCAAAAGGAGGCCCTACACCGTACAAATCAATTATTGTGGTCTAAAACCAGGTGTTGCAGTTTCATTGTCCAACTCCTGTATATGTCCTGTCTAAAAATCTTTATGCTTCAACAAACTGGTGCAGCACACAGAGGACATTTTAGAAAAACCTCACGTAAATAAAAAAGACAAACTTTACAAATAGAAATAAATACAGATATTTGCACTGTAGTCTGGTCTGTGACTAGCAATGAACTAGCCTGGCCCTTGCCTTCCTACGCAGTTCTGCTGAAGTGAAGGACAAGGGGCTGGTTTTTACCAGGCTAGCAATGAACAGCTGAATTGTTTTAAAGTGATAGTAGATTTAATAAAAATAAGAAAAACATTCATACATTAAATATGCAGCTTTTTAAACTTTATTATTATTTTTAAATAAACTTATATACAATAAAAATACAAATTACAAATAAAATGAAAGGCGGTAAAAAGAAGAAAAAATATTCTGTGCCTTTTTCCCATTAAAAACTAAATAAATAAATTCAAGAAGTAATAAACAAGAAAAACTAAACAAAAACATCAAATCCTTGTCAAACAACGAAGAATCTTTAAATACAAGTACAAATCTTTTCTGCAGGTACACAAATCTAAATTTTACAGGTGGGTTGACACATATCTACATTCACTGCCCCACTTTGCAGGTGAAGTCTAAGCTTTGGCATAAGTGATTTATAAAGTGAGACCAGCTAAAACTGTTTAAGGCTAAAGCTAGTTGCTAAATATGCCTCTAGTGTAACACCATCCACCCTGTGTATTTTTATTTTAGCTGTGTCTTACATAACATCCTTGGAAAGACAGTCACCCACTGCCCTTCGTATGAAAGTAATAACCCCGGAGAAAGAATTTGGGTCAAGACAGCAGCGCCGCCCATTTTTGTGTTCTGGACTTTTCCAGACACCGGGCTGATGATGACTGATAGCCTACGACACTTCCGGTTTCTCTTCTCAGAGCCCTCGAGAAAGTTCTGTGGCAGCGGCGCTGTTATAAAACGAGCCGCACGGCTCCTGCCCGCCCTCACACAGAGTTTCCTCGCCAAGGTTGTATCTCCGAAGAAAAAAGTGAGTAACCTTCAGCGAAGCTTCGAGCCTTTTTTTTATTATTACATACTAGTTACAGCATTCATGCAGTTTGATTTTTGGCGTTTAGCTGACATTCTGCCGCTATCCACGTGCGGGTTGCCGTAGTATTTCCTGACGTCGCCGGCTAAGGCTAAACCCTCATTGAAACAATTATAAGAGTAATAAATGTGTATTATTCGCGTAATTTTTTTTACAGCTTCGACAAAATGGTTCACGAAACCGGCTTCTATGATCTCCTGGGTGTCCGTCCGGAAGCGTCGATGGACGAGATTAAAAAAGCCTACAGAAAACTGGCACTTAAATACCACCCCGACAAGAACCCTAACGAAGGAGAAAAGGTAACAGGGACACGCTGCGATTTATTTTATGTTGTGTGAATTAAATTTAAACGTTCATGGTGCTGTTAGTGGACTGATCCTGACAGTATGAGGTCGCTGCTTAAACCGATGGAACTTTCTGGAACCATCGAGTCCACAGCTGTTCTGTTCAGGGAAACCTACACTCACCCAGTAAAATACTTGTTTGAGCTTATTTTCATCAAGAAACACATTCATTTATTCATTTTTGTTTGCTTTCTACTCAATATATCGTTTTTCCCTAAATGGAATTTTTTTTCTTAAAATAATTTTTTTGCACCAGGGTTGCAATCAAAGGAGGTCCAGCCAGGGAAGGCAGTGCTCCCCTCCTGCCTTTATATTTGCTGACCCCACCTGGACAGACTGACTATGTACCTCACTGGGCTGGAAATATTGGGAGACTATAAAACTGTGAGCAAAAATGTCCAAATTTTGCACTGCAGTCTCTCTAATTTTTTGAATGAGTGTAACCGAGTGACAAGTGAGCCCCAAGGTTAAGTTTTATATAGTGTTTATGAAAATCCAGTCCATTTTTGGGTTCACAGCTYKAAGCTTCACATTACCTTATTTTGCTGCACACCTCCAGCCACATCAAACCTCTGCTCATCTCGTGCCCACCAGCTTTCCCACGTTTATGATACTGCTGGGAGTTCGAGTTTGACTTAAATCAGTTTTTAAGAACTGCTCATCAGAGACTGCAAATGTCATGAGACAATCTGGAGACCTTTTCATTAATGCTAACTAGGAACAACCCAGAAAGATATCACCTTTAGGTGCATAATACATCTGTTAGCCGCAGATACTTCACCTTAAATGCAAAAATTGCTTAAAAATATAATTTGGATTTATTTACATTTTTTTCAATAACCATTACTGGAGTGATTCTATAYGAAATGACAAAATTTCATGTTGGATAGGTAGATTAATGTAAAAGCTTTTTTCTTTTCCTTATGTTTTCACAGTTTAAGCTAATCTCCCAAGCATATGAAGTCCTCTCGGATCCAAAGAAAAGGGACTTGTATGACCAGGGAGGGGAGCAAGCYATCAAAGAGGGAGGCATGAACTCGGGATCATCTCCGATGGACATATTTGACATGTTCTTTGGAGGTGGAGGGCGGATGCAGAGAGAGAGAAGAGGTATGCTCTTACGTCAACGTTTTCTCTCTCTTTGAGATGAAGACACTTTGTGGGGTTTTAACATTTGTTCGTTCTTTATTCTCTGCAGGGAAGAACGTTGTTCACCAGCTTGGTGTCACGCTGGAGGAAATGTACAATGGTTCGACAAGGAAGCTTGGACTTCAGAAGAATGTCATCTGTGAGAAATGTGATGGTAAGTCCTTGAGAATTTATCTGATAAAACGGAACAAAATCAGAAAATGTCAAAACGAGCTGCTGTTGTTTTCAATCCCAGGTTACGGTGGGAAAAAGGGCGCCTTGGAGAAGTGCTCAGCCTGCAAAGGAAGAGGAGTACAAATCAGAGTGCARCAACTTGGACCGGGCATGATTCAGCAGATCCAGTCTATGTGTTCCGACTGCCAGGGGCAGGGTGAAAAATTCAGCGCCAAGGATCGCTGCAAGAACTGCAACGGACTCAAAGTAGAACGCAAGAAGAAAATCCTCGAGGTTCACATAGACAAAGGTGGGATACCTTCACCTTGGACATTCAAAAAGGGTGATGGTCTAAAAGTTTGTGTAGAAAATTTCAAGCAATGTTTTTCTTCAGGTATGAAAGACGGCCAGAAAATTGTGTTTCATGGAGAAGGCGACCAGGAACCTGGATTGGAGCCTGGGGACGTCATAATTGTCCTGGATCARAAGGAACATCCGGTTTTCCAGAGACGAGACAGCGACCTGATCATGAAGATGGACATCAAACTTGTAGAGGCCTTGTGTGGTTTCAGTAAGGCCATTCAGACGTTGGACAACAGAACGCTCCTCATCAGCACAAGGCCAGGTACAGARCCTGCATCAGCTCAGCACCAAACTTGGTGGCGTCTGTGAAAATCTGGAGYGATTTAATAAYGTTTGCAATTCTTTCAGGTGAAGTCATCAAGCACAACGACATCAAGTGTGTCCAGAACGAAGGCATGCCCCTGCACAGGGATCCTTATGAAAAGGGACAGCTAATCATTCAGTTCCAGGTAAAGTGTTCAACATTTTATCTTTTTTTTTTTTTGAAGTGAAATCTGTGGTGTTTCAAACAATRCTGAGGAGGATTTTATTCCTCAGGTGGAGTTCCCAGAGAAACACTGGCTCCCCGAGCATCTCATGTTCCAGCTGGAACGACTGCTTCCCCCCAGAGAGGAGGTGATGATGAGTGACGACATGGAGGAGGTGGACCTCTGTGAGGTGGACCTCAACTCCCAGCAGAAACACCACAGCAGGGARGTGTACGAGGAAGACGATGATGGTCCTAGAGGGGGGGTGCAATGTCAGACGCATTGAGTGTAGCCGAGGTACAAACTTCTCTGTAAACAGTGAGGTTTTTTTTTTTTCCACAGCCTTTTGAAGATTTGACCAGTGATGTAAAGTCTCAACTTTTACACTTATARTTGAAAATTTCCCTGTTTTTATTGTTAACCTTGACACAAACATGCACACTGTGTGCTCCTAATGTAAAGCTGTATTTTTGTGTTGTGTGTTTCAAATCTTTCACCTTCTGTACATACTTTCTTTGACGACACAAATGTTTTTTTGTTCAAAAGCCAAACGGACGATTTTTCTATACTTTCTGTGAAGGTACTTTGTGACAAATGTATTAAATCCGTCAAAGTAAAACTTCTGTATTTTTGTTTTATCTCTTAAAAGTCTGTAAACATTTTGCATAAAGATTGACTCTGGACAAAGAAGCAAAACCAGCAATTTCTAATAAACACTGTTTAAAAAAATGTGTTAATACTTAATCATGAAGGAGCAACGTGACTGTAGATGACTCACAGCAGCCTATGAAGAAATAATACCAGTATTAACGTAGAAAATATGGATTAATTATATTGATTAATACCAGGTGCCTAAATGAAATTAAAACTAAGATATTTAAGCAATGACTGGAAAAAAAGTCACCTTTTTTTCTATAATGAATTTACTGTATGTGGGGGTACAGCACACTAAGCTGAGTCAGGAGAAAAAAGTAAGCCACTCCTGGTAAATATCATGGGTGTTCCTGACAGTTTATGTCTTACCAATAAAAGCAGCTTTCAGGACTTTTTATAAGAGCAGGAGCTGATAGTGGTGTCACCTAACTCACTAAACCCTCTTATCTGGACAAAGCAGGCAGCTCTGAGAAACATGCTCTTAACAAACAAGTACTGAAAAGAGAGGTCACTTCCAATAACTGGTGGAGCGTAATTTATTTTAACCAGTATTTAAAATAAACCAAATTATTTTGCTGTTAACTCTGGTACAGATAAAAAAAAACAAGAAGAGAAAAGTGATTTAGATTTTTTTTTTCCTGATTAAAAATGCTTTATTAATTCAAAGGTATTTTGTTAACTTTTTAGCAGGCTGACAATTTAAAATTTCCTTCAACACTGAACATGTAATAAATAAAAATATATAGATAGTTTCCCTGGATTAAAAAAAGGAATAAAATACTGCTTTTAATCGTCGCCTTCAATTAACTTCAAATTGCAGCTGTCTGAAACTACACCACCCATAATGCAAAGCGAGCACGTGACGTCACCCATCCCCGGCACCGGTCTCCTGTGCTGCCCGCCTGCCTGGCAGCAGTCCTGTCTGTATGAATCGACAGCCGACAGTTGTGTATTTAGACAGGCAGGAACACGAACGGCCTTCCGAAACCGGAACGTGGTGAGTCCACGGGTTTGTTTAAATGGCGAAAACCTACGACTATCTGTTTAAGCTGCTGCTTATCGGAGACAGCGGCGTAGGCAAGACATGTCTGCTGTTCAGATTCAGCGAGGATTCCTTCAACACCACCTTCATCTCCACAATAGGTGAGTATACCCCCGCGGACACTCCAAGGAGAAACACAGTTATTTATTACAACGTTTTTGCTGAACCCCTGACACAGTAACCCCAATAACACGGGGTGGCTGCATTCAGACAGCTTATAATCATATTCTTCCATATAAGCTCACATCCATCTTCTTACGAGTGCTACTTTGCAGTCTTATGAATAGCAGTACTAATGTATTATTAATGTTATCATTAAAGCCTCTTTTACTATAGCTAGGTTTGCTTTAGTCTCAAATGATATCCTGCCTTTTGTGTGTGTGTGTCATGCTATAATCCGTGATGTGAGAATGATCTAATGCAGCTTTGACCGTTTTCTCTGTCAAACACAGGGATAGACTTCAAGATCAGAACAATAGAGCTGGACGGAAAGCGAGTCAAACTCCAAATTTGGTGAGTGGCGTTTGAGCGGAGGTTCCTCTTTTTTTTTGCAAAGAAAAGTGAAAGGGCAGCAAATTTTTGAACATGATCTTTTTTTATTTTTGACTGGTGCATTCAGGGACACTGCAGGGCAGGAGAGGTTTCGCACCATTACTACAGCTTACTACAGAGGAGCGATGGTAAGTCCCCGCCTTTCTCGCTTTATTTCTGTAAAAGCTGTCTTTGCCTTTCATGTCATGGTTTGGGATCTCCCCTCCCCTCTGCTCTCCTTTCTTTCCAGGGTATTATGCTGGTYTATGACGTCTGCAACGAGAAGTCCTTTGACAACATAAAAAACTGGATCAGAAATATTGAAGAGGTGAGCTCAGACTTTATATTACCAGCTTAAATGGTACATTTCTTTGAAACAAAGGTGTAATCCTGAAAACTTGCAGTTTTAAATTGTTGAGAAGCTGTAGTTTTAAATGATTGTCATTACATTTTCCCAGCATGCCTCATCAGATGTGGAAAAAATGATCCTGGGAAACAAATGTGACATGACTGACAAGAGACAGGTGTCCAAAGACAGGGGTGAAAAGGTGAGTTTTTGCTGTCTGTCGTAACTAAAAACCCTTCAAATATATTTGTTTTTAGCATTTGTAGTTGATGATTATTTTTATTATTTTTTTGCTTAGCTGGCTATTGATTATGGAGTAAAGTTCTTGGAGACCAGCGCAAAGTCTGGCCTAAATGTCGAAGAGGTTAGATGAAAATTTATTATCCAGGAAAATCTCACGCAAAATCAACTATATATCTAAAATACATTTTTTACTTTTGTTTTCTTTCACTCAAGGCTTTTTACACGATGGCAAAAGACATCTTACACAATCTGTGCTCAAAGGCAGTAAGTAGTGAAGATGTTCCTTAAAATGGATGAAGCACCTTTTTTTTTTCCCGATGAAAGCTGTATTTGTTCCACTGACTCACTCCCTTCCATTTTAGACCGACAGCAGCGGCGACGGATCGGGGAAACCTGTCAAGATCACAGATAAAAAATCAAAGAGAATTAAATTGTTCAAGTGTTCAGTTCTCTAAGCAGCTGGCCTGTGATTTTTCATGTTCTGCCGTGAACTTGCTATTAGGATCCCTGCCCTCTTGGCCTAACTGACCGCAGCGGCAGAGGCGGCACTGCTCGTCATCAGCAGGCTTTATCGCCACGTGAGGGTCAACGGGTTTCAACAGGTCGTGGGCGGGTGAGAAGCCACCCCTCATTTGCTGAACAACAAATGAAGAAAGATGCGAAAGACCGTCAGCAGTGGTTGGTAGCTAAACTTGCAGTGCCTGCTCACAGTGGGCTGACATGAAAATATATCAGTGGCACACTGTTTGTCTTACTCTTTCATACTGTAGCATCATTTTATACATAACTACCTGTTGATCATAATGCTGTGAGATTAATATACCGAGTCTCGGCATTGATTGTATTTTGCAAATTTGTGTATATTTTATTACGCTTATGACCTTCAGTTGCACTAACATTATTCTGACCTCTAAGAAGCTTCAGAAGTTTGATAAATCAGACAAAAAACATTTGGAAAAGTTACTTTTTGCTCTTCTTTTTTATTATTATTTTTACATTTGAACTATTTATACAAGTTTCTGTGTTTGGAAAAACTGTGAAGGAAGTTTATTTCACCGAAGCTGCACTGAAAATGTACTCTTTCACGGTTGTTTGTATTTGCATGAAGGATGTAGTAGACACTTTGAAGAGGTCAATATTAAGCACAGTATCTGAAAAGGGGGAAAAATCGTTTACAGAATGTATATAAAAATGCCAAACATATATAGAAAGGGAAGTTTTTTTGCTGTTCACGTGTGCATGCATTTTAAAAAAATCTTTCCAAAAACCGAAGACGTTCTTTTTTTTTTTGTCTCCAACCTGAAAAGACAGCAGTTGAGGAAGGCTGTATTGTAGATTAAGTTCTCTGTAGGCTCTTGTATGTTAGTAGAATGTTAACAAAAGTAAAGAAAATTAATATTCATAGAAGAGTGTTTGATTTTTACATATATGTAGTCATCTTACTCTTTTCACTGTTTCCTAACTGGGTTTTGGCCTATGTTCCTTCTCCTTTTCGTTGCTTTCAATTCTCATTTTGTGCACCATCTTCTGCCTTTCCTGCTTCTATCWTTTTCTTTTTCTCAATCTCACGTCCGACATCTGAAACCCTAGTTGCTCTCGTGAGGTCCCTCTCACTGCTGCACGTTCTCGGCTCCTTGGAGAGCACCAAAGGCTTTGCTTTTTTGTCGGTGGCGTTGCAGCTCTGTGACCTGTAAGATCGCAGAAGCCTTTCGTCGGCTACAGTCAGATAGTCGGTGGCGTCTGAGGGGTTTCTTTTGACCTTCGTTCCTACGTGGGCTTCCTCTTCTTCAGTTTCCGGTGGTCCTTCTTCACCTGAAGGACGTGCGTTGATATTATTCAGTTTTTCAAACTCCGTAAGTGTGGGGGCAGTCTGTAACTGCTGTGTAAGTGGTTTGATTGTTGATCCTTTAGGTATGAGGCTGGGATGGATGCTAAACTCCTGATTTGTTGACCATTGATATTGAGCTTTAGTCTGAATGTTATCACCTGGCTCAGCTTGGTTGTACATAAGGCTGCTCATGGTCCTCTTTCTAGTGATGGGAGATGTCTGACTCTGGGTTTCAGTCAGAAGATGTCTCATAGATTTTGCCCTTCTTGGAGAAGAGGACATTTTGGGAAGGCTGGCCACCACTTTGACTTTAGCAGCATCCTCTGGATTATCAAGGGGGTGAACAGTGATGGTRCTCATAGATCTTCTTTTCGTTAAAGGAGATACGGGTTGCTCTTCAGCTGGAAAGTGCTTGAGCGACTTAGTCCTTTTAGCAGGAGACAAAGGTTTTAGTCGGTTTTTGTCCATTAGTTTGTCTAGCAGCATTGTGCTGCCTTGCTTTATGCTGGCAATGGTCTCTTGACTTGATGYCCCAGAAAGTGACTTTTGTTCACACGGAGATATGAGAATGTCCACACATGAACCGGGTCGTGATCTGTCCAAACCACCAACCTCTAGAGTCTGACCGCTTTCCTTGGTGTAGAGAGCGCACGTGCTGGCAGCTTGTCGCAAACTTCGCTGTCTCTCAAGGCCGCCCTTCTCTTCGGAGTCCTTCTGCCTGGATGCGAACTCTTCCATGTCCATGTGGAAGCGGTACAGACTGTAACCGTCGGCACTGTTGATGCTGCCCTGGCGGAGGAGAGAGGAGGAAGGGTCGCACACGGACGAATTTCGCGAAAAGGTTCGGGTCAGCTCCTGCCTGTCCACCCCTGCGAGCTTCTCCAGTGCGACCGCCATACGTCCGTGGAGCTCCTCCAGCTGGGCCAGACGCAGGTCGACTGTCTGCAAGGATGCCTTCATGGTGTTCTCCCTCTCGTTTACCTCCTCCAGACGCATCGACATGTTCTCAACTCTGCCAAGGAAATGAGAAATAAGGCATGTGTGAGAACAGGGATGGGTGTTTTGAATTARACGCTAAAACTGAGGCATTTTTTACCTTTCTGAAGTAACTTTGATGCGTTCATCGCTTGATGACTGTTGCTCATCTTCTTTTTCACGAAAATATACCTCCACGCATTGTTCTTCAAACTCGTACAAGTTCTTAAGCTCTTCTGGATTCAGCCTGAGCTCTAAATGGAACATTAAAACTTCATTTTAATTTGCTTCTCCTGAACTTGTAAGATAAAACACAAACAGTACCATACTAAAAGATATCTTTGGGCTCGCCTATGTAACCATTGGGCATTATAAACTATATAGCTGATTCAGATACATGTTGTGGATCATCAGGACATACTGAGGCCTCGGTCCTTCTCGTCCAGCTCTCCCTCCTGCTTCCTCTTAACGCAGCGCCGGAACAGCCTGGTGAAGAGGATGTAGAGGTGGCTGAGGATGATGAGAGGTGGTGGCAGAATGGGGCGGTCATGGAAGGTCATGATCAGCTGATATCTTTGAAACTTCCACACCTGGTTGGAAATGGACTTGACTTCGAAGAAGGTATTGCTGCCATGAGGAGAAATAGGCAAACCGGTGAGTATGAGCTGGTGTTTCAGGTCCGGCATACATTCGTAGGAACAGTTACGTACTTGAAGACAGCAATGAGCAGGTTGACCAGTAAGATGTTCGCCACAAGAAGGTAACAAGCCATAATAGCCGGTGTGAGCCAGGCACCGGGGATACAGGGAGGAAGTTTCTTCCCGTCTTCATCGTACAAATGTTCTCCACATGGAGCTGTGTGGAAGGAAGGTGATGACTGATCTTTGATATTACAAATAAATAAGTGCACGGATCAGAATAAACATCCTTAAAGACTACTTACGATTTATTTCCATTGCATAGACTTGTAAAAAATCCCAGAAAACAGAAACATGAATGAGTGTTTTTTTTATCATTAACAAGAGCTTTCTTTTTCTTTTTGCATTTCTGTCAAGGTGAAGCTGATGTCCAGAAAAGGATATAGTGCTAATCTATCCAAAGCACATTGGCCTAAAATGGGAATAAAAATAGATTTTGACTTTCGAATCATAAACCAAACTTGCAGTTTGAAAATTGGAGTTGGGTTTGTGTCACTTCTTCAAACAGTTTTTTTAGAGGAAAGTAAATGCCTTTGCGTTTGGATGTAAACATTGTTTAATGTTCAGTTTAAACTTCAAAACTCTTTAATATATCAGTCATTTTGTATGCCACATAATTCCAGTTGGATCACTGCAGGCAGGTGTGTTTTTGAACCTTTTTTCAAGAGCATCAGCTATTATTCATGTGCAATTTGATTTGGCCATTTTTCTCTGAAATGATGATGTTCATTACCCACAAAATGTTTTGATGCCATTAAAACCTACAAATTTTGTTCAATGCTAAACCATCACAAATATTAGCTGTTAAATTATATGTTTGTTGGAAGAAAATCCCTCAGAAATTTTTGACATAAAATAGTCCTATTTATAAATGTATTTTTTATTTTGAAATATTAAGACTGGTTGCAGCAAGAACATTCCTGTTAGTTTATGTATGTACCTTACATTAAAAACATATTAAAAGTATATTTTGCACATTTGAAGCAAATCATACTCCAGCAAATACATTTTGCAAACTTCTGCATGTCTACTTAAAACAACATCAAAACTACCAAACTTCAAAAATGTATTAAACATTTTATTTTTTATAGATTGAGTTTGAATATTTCAAAATTCAATACAGGCTGATTTCAGTTATCTTTCCATGTCATTTTATGGTACTAATATTTTAGGTTTTTTTTCTTTCTTAAATTTATTTGGCCTTTTTTGCTGTCTTCACCTTGACAAAAGTAACATTCACATGAAAATAAWACTTAAAGGCAGATGATCATCACTGAGAACATTTAAGCTCTAATCCATGCAACATTACTGCTGTGAATGCAGTGCAAATCTTCCAGCAGAGGGAGACAAAGTATTGAAAGAACCATAGTGTGATGTTTTGGTTGGAAATGTCAAAAATAATTGACAAATATGGGATTTAAATAAACACTGATCATCTGCCCAGAATCAGGAAACAGAATCTTACTATGAATTCTAGTCTTACGGTCTATCGAGTCCGCAAAAACCTCCCCATAGATCATCCAGTAGGGCATGTAGAAAATGTTTCGGGCCAGGCGCCATGTCGGCTCTTCGTCCGGGTGAAGGATGGCTTGCCGAGCCACGCCGAAGCTCATCAGCACCACTAGCATGATGACCACGAAGTACATCATGTCAATCATCTGAAACAAATGCAACGTTACCCCATCAGTGGGCACTTTTCATGTCTGTTGTGGCAGTTTTTACATTTTAATCATCATTACCATCTTCCCGATCATCATCACATAGGGTCCTAGGTATTTGTTGACTCCAAAGATGTCTAACACACGAATGTACCAGAAGATTATGTCGATGCAGTAGATGACTCTGCCATAGCCCATGTAAGGCTCAGGCTGCAGCCGTAGCATCAGCCCCAGAAGGAAGGTGGAGATGGCAACCAGGTCTGTGATGTTCCAGTAGTCCTCCATCCACACACTTATTTTCTGCTTTAGCTTCCCTGGTTCTGACATCAGAATCTACACACCAAAAACTGTAAATTAAGCTTAGTCCAATAAAACATGATGAAATATTATCAGGGAAACAATATTAGATCTTGTACCTGTCTGACTTTTTCAGTGCCAAGTGTCAGGATGTATGCAATGACTGTCCACTCCTGTATAGATGGCCATCGTTCCATTTTCACCAGGATAATGTAATTATACATCATCAAATAACCCAGATAGGAAATCTGGCAGAGGAAGATTGGTTATAACTTTAGAAAGATMCCCCCCATAAATGTTTAATCTCAGTGTCTTCAAAGGAACTTACAGTGTTGAACCAGAATTTAGTGAACGGCGCATCATAAAACTCAAAGAACCTTCTACCGATGGGAATTTTGCGAACCTTAGTGCTGCCTTCCTCCTCATCCCCCTTCCGGGAAGTTGCATCGGTGTTGGGATCCTACACCAACAATATGAAGTTTCAGATTGTAAACTTTCAGCATGATCAGCATTTAAATCTGAASATGTCGCCACGAAACTGGGGACCTTGCTGGATTTTGCATCGTCGTCCTTGTCTTTCCCCTCTTCTTTGTCTCCACGACCCTGATAGGAAGCGTCGTCTCCAATGCGGAAATCCAACAATAGAATCAAAGGAGGCAAAATGATTCCCAGAATAACCTATAAACAGATACATTTTATATTATCATGTTTTTTTTATTAGTCGTGTAAAATGAACTATTCATCACAATACCATCACAACAAAGATTCTCAACCTTTAGGCCTGGATTTTTCCCAATTCGTAAGCAGCCCATCCACATGTCTGTGAGCAACATCTGGCTGCAGGTGTGAGCGATGAAATCCCGTTGTTTTGCAGCAACTGCAAGCTTCAGACAGGTGGAATTGCTCCAGTTGACCAGCTCGTATGTTAAGAGCTTCATGGCCACCTGCTCATCATGCTTGTAGGACTGGTCCAACAGTTCATAAGCCAACTGGCCAAACTCTCTACAAAGAAAAAAAAAAGCAACATTTTGGATGAAGACTCCAATGTTTGACTTGACTGCATCCTGTTGTGGCACTGACTTGGAGTTGTTCTCCAGGTCTTGGGAGATGTCATCCACCAGCTCACTCTCGGAGCACTCGTGGGCCATGGTCTTGTAGAGTTTGCAAGCCACYAAGGCCTTCGCCATGCCCTCTTCTCCACGCTGCCAGAGGAACAGTGCCATCTTCTGACGTTTCAGCAGCACGGCCCACAGCATCAGCTCGTGGAAGGGATACTTGAATCGACACACCTCCGGGTCATCCACATCAATCTCCACCTCTTCTTCTTTCTTCTTTTTGTGCTTTTTCTTTCCTTTTGGCCTGGGTTCATCATCCTAATGAACAAAGAGAAGCTGTAGGGCACTTTGCTGTGATTGCCGAAGAACATTTAAGTGTTAAAATCTTACCTCCATACCCAGGAGCTTCAAAGCTTTTGGCTGCAAGAAGTGAGCAAAAGACTGGACTTAATATCTCAAAGTAGTTAAGATTTTGAACTAGCTTTTGTATTTAGTCTTTCATACCCGTTTTAGCCCRTACAGATTGTTGTACAGGTTGCGGAAAGCCTTCCTTGTATAGTTGCTCCTGTAAGCTCCACCCATGAGGAACTCCAGGACCAGACCGATATCWATCAAAGTGATCTGATAATCTGGAGGAAGGTTTCCCTGCAAAATGTAATAACAAATGTTGCCATAACATCATTTGAAAAGTCAAAAACTTTTTAGAATATGTGGGGATTTCTGTTGTACCTTTTTGACATCCCTGACTATGACATGCAGTGTRTTTGCAGGACCAAGTTTCTGGGAAAAGTAAGGGGAGAGGAAAGGTTGTGTATCAAGATTTTCTGTTGACACACAGTCATTCTTCAGAACACAGAAAACTGCTTCTTTGTTTCCTAGCTGTTTATCACACTCACTGTGTTGTATAGCTCCTCCAGCCTTGGGATGGTGAGGAAATGATGGATGTTGACTCCATTCTCAAGCAGCAGTTTGACAAAGTCCACTCTGTCCAACACCAGAGCATCCATCATGGCCTGCTCCAGAGAGTTCACCTGAAAGAAGAGAAGGCATCAAACTCAGCAAGCTTGCATTCAGTCCACTAAAGAGTTYAAAAAAACAACGTGTTCTCACCCAGCGAATAAGCTCCAGCTTTCTTGGGTCAGTTTCTTCTGGAGGTTCAGGCTTCGCCTTTCCTTTTCCCTTCCCTTTTTTTGCCCGAATCTTGCTGCGAGACGTGCTGGCAGGACTCTTGGGTTTCTCCTGAGTCATGGCTGCAGATGTTGTGACGGCAATGGCTCCAGCAGGCTAAGCAGACAGGAATCAAAGAAGGAGAAAGCTGGAGCTTCCTTCTCTAACCAATTTAAAATAGCCCCCTCKTTCTTTTGCCTGAAGTACAATTCTTTACACAACATACACTGCCTGGCCAAAAAAAAAGTTGCCACCAAAAAAAAGGTCACACACTATWATAGTTTGTTGGACCACCTTTAGCTTTGATTACTGCATGCATTTGCTGTGGCATTGTTTGGATACGTTTCTGCAATGTTAYAAGAATTATTTCCATCCAGTGTTGCATTAATTTTTCACCAAGAYCTTGCATTGATGATGGTAAAGTCTAACCACTGCGCAAAGCCTTCTCCAGCTCATCCCAAAGATTCTCAATGGGGTTAAGGTCTGGACTSTTTGGTGGCCAATCCATGAGTAGAAATGACGTCTCAGGCTCCCTGAACGACTTTTACAATTCCAGCCTGATGAATCCTGGCATTTTCATCTTGGAATATGCCARTGCCATCATGGATAAAAYAATCCATTGATGGAATAACCTGGTCATTCAGTATATTCAGGTAGTCAGCTGAACTCATACTGTTGTTGAACCTAGACCTAGACCTGACCAACTGCAGCAACCCCACATCATAGACCTTAGTTAAATCCAGGTGGACACATTTTTTTTTGGTTGGGCAGTGTATACTGTGCTTATTACTGTAAAACATTTGGACTGATGGTTTCGTGTGCCTGAACCACTTACCGGTAAGTTGTGCCCATAAACAAATATGTGATTACGAGCAATGTCCACTCTGTTCCAGGCCAGGGCCAAACTGAGCTGATCTGCTGCTGAWGCATTCGTGCCTGATCCCAACAAAAAACAGAGACGTGATTATCTGGTTTTCTCCATGTAATGAAAGAAAAAGTTGCTGTAAAGAAAACACTCAAGGAACAGCTTTTAACCTCCTGAATATTTTTGATAAAATGTGCAAAGAACACCAATGAAAAAAGGGGAATGCATTGTGAAATAAAAAAAGCACAAAATGGATCATATTTGTACATTTTATGTTGATTAAACTTTAACCACGGGCAGCTATGAGTTTACAGTTCAGCACTGTTTTCTAATCTTCCTTTTACTTTTGCTATAGTTTTCTACGTTTAGATTGTTTTAGGTTATTTCCCTGAAAAAAACCCAAAGCCTACTTGTTGCCATTTTTCTTACAGCTTCTAAGAGTTTTTTTTCTAAATCTCAAATATATCCTAATAGTTTTAAGTCGGTTTAACTTCTTTTCACATCTCCAAACTGTTTAAAAAGGCTATTTTTTGCTTCATAACTCCTTTACTTGATGTAAATTAAAAACAAAGTATTTCTGAGTCTCAACCAGCTCTTTTGTCTCAACTATTTTAAAACTAATTGACATCCCTCTTTTTTCTATTGAAAATACTTTGAATTTCTTAGTTGATTTGATGCCATTTACCTTCTTATTTAAAAAAGAAATATAAACACACAAAATAAAATGACATTTAAAAACATAAATGTGGGATAATTGGGATGTCAATAATGTCCAACTCTATGCAATCGTTAAGCTTTCCTTAAAAGGTGATAATACCTTTTAACAAAGCAGTAAGAATGGCCATTTCAATGTCTTGTTGGCCCTCTGATCCCATTCGAAACACTGTGATCTACAAAAGAAGAAAAAAAAATACAGTGAAGAAGCCTTTTTCYATCAGGGCTCAAAGATTCACCAGATGAGAAAGATGAATGAATAAATGAATTCATGCAGCCAGGATGTAATTTTTTTTTCTGCCACTGTTTCCAGCAGGGCCTCTTATTCTGACCACAAACAACCAGGAAATGTTATCTGACTGATAACGYTTCCTTTGTGTATAAATTCAACTATGTGAAATTAAATTACACCGGTGGTTCTGTCACATGTGTTGGTAAATTGAATTAAACCAGCATGATTATGTGACAAAACGCCTAAGGTTTCATAGCTGGCCTCAGGGTTTGTGAATAACGAGTATTTCTTAGTTTGGACACTAAAAACTTTTGTCACTGTAGTTTTTTAAGAGAGCCTTTGAAAATAAAGAGCTTATAATTCAGTTTTATGTATTAAATCATCTTTTAACTGCCTCAGTCTGTGTTTTGTGTTTGCCAGCTCACTTCAGCGTTGCACAGAGTGGGACTCAGTGAAGCTGAACCGTATTAAAAAATAAACCCACAGTGATAAAATCTTTAAAAATAAAGAATCTGTTGCTTATCTGGGTTTGTTGTATCACTCGGTTTAAAGCATCAGGGATAGAGTGCAGATTCTGGGGAAGTGATGGCACTCTGCAGGAGAGAGTGACCTGCTRGAGGATTACAGCTATAGAGCTTGTCCTCCATCCGCCTGCAGTGAGCTTTCTGTGAACACACGAAGTTAAACCCTCCAAGCAGGCGATAGAGTGCCCTGATCTGTCTTATCTGAATGTATGAGGTATCAAGATTATAGAAAGTGGGCATCAGGAGGTATTTATCWTAGCACTTGTTGCAGAATCTGCTCAAGATGATCAAATTATGATGCAATTTGTAGCACTTTGTCGTAATCTGCTGCCTGAGTCTCAGCAGGATCAGTTCTGCTCTGTTTCTACAGGGTTAAAGGGTTGTTTTACAGACGGGTGCAGAGAYGACCACAAAAGGTTTATCTTTATTCAGGATGATTAAAGGATCATTTTGATCATTTGAAGCAGGGTTCTGAACTCCTTTTACACATCTACATTTTCTGTCAACTACATTTTTAATATATAGCATGTATTAACCCAAACAAACTCACACAGGGCTCATGTATTAAGTACACACACTACTTACAACACATATATTTTTACTCCATCGATACAGTRATGAACGTATTGGTGGGGGAGGATTTCAGTATTTTGCTTCGCACACTTCAGTAAAGTGCAGGGGATGGGGATTGACCAACCCACTGACTACAAAACCACGCCTCTCCTCCTGGGCCATCCTACCCTTGGAGCTGTTTCTGACAGGTAATATCTTACATGTTATAGATAATTATGTCAACAATCTCACTTTGGGGAAACAGTTTAATTCTGACCAGACTGACAAGCTAACAGCTATCTGTTCTGAATCTGAGGGGTTCATAGTTGTGAATTAGAAGGCTGTTTTATAAACCGTGCACTTTTAACCTAGCATTACATTCTGGGATGCAGAGGAAGGGCTACAGTTAGCTGCTGAACACTGTTCTGACAAGATGTTGGTTCCCAAACAAACTCTGTTCCTCCAAACTGAGAGCKAGACATTGTTCAGACATTTCCACTGAAACCCACTTAAAAAGATCTGAACAGTCACTTTGGTGAAAACACACACAGGTGAGTGAAATGATTAAATGACAAAAGACACAATGCACTTCACAACTCAAAGGGTGTTTATTGTTTGACACGTATTAAATGGAATATAATATGTTAAATATGATGACTGTGATCAYGATGAAACCTTCATCATTACTCACCAGCTCCCTTTTTTTCATGCACTCCATTACCATGAGCAGGATCTGCTGGGACTGGCTTTTGCTGTAATTGAAYGTCTTCTGAATAGTGACCAATAGCTGGTCTCTCACATCGTCATTGACCAGGCTGAAGGAGAGGATTTAAAAACAAAAACTTCCTTCCTTATCAAAATTCTACCAGAGCGTGGAGGCAGACGAGTCACCTAGGACCTCACCCTCCATCCTCGGAGAACTTGTGCGCGAAGGATATGATGTCGGAGGCACGGCCGCTGCCGTCGCACACCACCACCGGGATGGGAGGCTCATCCCTCAGGCTCTCCAGGGTGATGGAGATAACGTTGGGACCTCCCTCCACGATCAGACACACTAGAGGAACCCCTTGGCCCAAACCTGAAGCAGACAGGAAGACAAGTTTCTCTCCTCCGAGGCATCACCTCAGGTTAGCAGAAGTTGAGGATAAAAACACAAGGGGGTGAAGTCAGTGGTGACAGCTGAGCATCCCTTTGCTGTCCCTGCCTTATCTGAGCTCCAGGCATAGGATGACAAAGGGAAGCCCATGGGTCACAGAGGAGCGCTCCATGTGGGTGAATGCGGGACGGAGCGGGTTCCAGAGCGTCAGCGGAGACTTACGGGTGTTGATCTTCTGCAAGGAGATGTGCTTCTCCAGCAGCCGACGGAGTTTGACCTCTGAGCCGTATTTCCCACAGGTCCCGTTGTCGGTGAGGATGAAATGGGAGTGGCTGTTGTTGAGCACTGCCAGCTTGCTCAGTGGGTTTGCCATCGCTTGGTAGGGCCTGGTTACCTTGAAGAAGAGAAACTTTAAGTGAAGTGATCTAATCAGGAACTCAACTAATCACAAAACAAACAAAAAAAAAAAACAGTTCTTACATCTTTTCCAATAAGGTCCTCTTTGTTCTCCAGGATCCCCCATGGAGCTATTCCAATTGCGCAGACCTTCCCTCGTGATTTGGAGGAATGGTCCTTTAAGGCATCTCCAACGTGACGAATCACCCCTACATTGGGATGGATACAAACAACACACACACACACACACAAAAAAAAAAAAACAGGTCAGTCTGAACAATAACTTTTTCAGAAACTTCACGAGGCTTCATCATGGGACACACTTTGGCCACCGCACGTTAAAATCTCCACAGAAACAATCTGTGCGGATTTTTCCATCAAAAGCTCTAATTATAGTGCCTAAACCTGTGAGAACGGGTCAGTAAACCCGCCCACAGGAAATTGCAGAATAGCTRTTGCATAATGACGATTTAGAGTGAATGCAATCCTCTAATGTCACAAGCGGGTGTTTGTTTAGTGAGCGTTAAAAGTCATTCGTGTGAATGTGTCACCTGTGTTGACCCCGCCCGTGAAGATCCAGGCTCCTGTGGTGACCGCTGCTTTGATCAGGCCTTTGCCAAACACTTGCTTGAGTTTGGGCTGGAGGTCAAAGTTCTGGAGGCCTCCGTGCACGGAGATGAGCAAGGTGGGCAACTCCAGCTGCCAGTCCTTCACCATCAAATGCAGGAGGTTGTCGGGTTTGGTGTCATATGAAACCCGAATGTACTGAAGAGAGAAAAAAAAAGGAATTGCCGTTTGTTCAAAGGACCAAAACATCTGATGTATTTTGTTTTGTTTTCCCAGGAATTTGGACTCACCATGGCCTTGTTGATGAACCCTCCTCCCTGGAACTCGATGATCCCGTAGGAGTCGGTCGGGTAGGTCCTGGTGTGTTTTATCACGCTCCATTTGTCATTCGGTGTCTCGATCTGCACCAGCGGCGTCGCCTCGGATATGGAGCTGGCGCCGGGAGGGATGGCGACGTGCTGCGTCACCAGCTGCCCGCAGGAACATCTTTCAGGAGATAAATCGCACGAAACTCACTCCTTCTCAAAAAGAAAATGCTAAAAATGACTCACGATTGAAATAACCTTTATATCCAAACAATCTTTTATTGATTTAGCACAGAGAAATACTTTCTAAGGAGTGTAATTAGCACTGATTGTCCTTATACACTTATCTGTTATAACTCACCACGTACTGAATTAACAGTTTTCTGAAGACTAAACTTACCTGGATGGGTCTTTGCTGGGAAATATGTGAATACATTCTCTTTTGAGAAATGTCCTCTCAATCCAAGCTTTGTGTGCCTGTGAAGATAAAAAATGTAGAAAAGGAAAAAAAAGTGTAAGTTTTCATCATGTGCTATAATACCATCCCTGAGAACTCAGCCTCACTAATGTCTGGTCTAGTCGCACTTTCAAAATCCTCTTAGTTGTAATCCTCASTGAAAGTTGAGGAGTGTTTCTTTTTCCTGCGAAGTGAGGATAAATGACAGAAGTAGAAAAAAATGAATACGATTTGGTGCAGTTGCAGAGCAAGTTCTGTTATTCTTGTGGATTTAACGCCATTCAGTTTGTGTTGATTGAGACTGGTTCACACAAACACACACCCTAACCACCACGAGCTGTGTGCTTCACATGTTGTCAGATCCTGTTCTGATCGCTGTCTGATCTTTTTCCAGTTCAGAGCAGAAATACTCTGAAAACAAATCGAAATTCTTCTGGCGGGGGGGTCGGGCTTTTGTTGGCAGTGACAGTCCAATTAAAACCAAAGTCAAATGAAGCCAAACTTTCCAACAAATCAGGTAAAAATCCAAACCTTGGAGACTAAAACCCTTTAATTGCTCTGTTATCGTAATACATCTCGATGAGTAGAAATCGAAAAGTGTAAATAAACTGCTGGTGTCTCGTGACGATCATGATTTCTAACAAAGACGATCAGTTTTCTTTTTACTTAAAAAACATATACAGACATGTTGCATCACTGGAAAGCTCATATACCATAAAAGTACTTTGTATGCCTTTTCTTTCTTTACTTTTTTAGTTATATTTAATCTCAAATGCATGTTGTGTACAGTTTAAATGAAACATTTTATAAAATTAATATTAATTTTGCATTAAATCATATGCCATTGCAGTTGTTCCACTCAAATTAACAAACATTTTTGTAACATTTACAGAATGAGCTTCCAAACTTTGTCTGCTGTTCATAAAAGTTTGCTAAAACAGTTTATTCAACTTTAAATGAACTTTTAGGAGGTTTTTTTTTAGTATTTGTTGATTTGCTTTTTCTTGATAACTTTTASCCTTTAAGTTTTTGCAAATGTACTCTCATCCTGTTTTTTTCTTTCATTTTTTTCCCCACCCTGCTTTGCGTCTTGTTTTGTCCCAGTGCTCTCGTGCATCACTGAGCATCCAGAACTCCTGCGGTGCTGCCTGCCTGCTCGTATTTAACTCATCTGACTTCCCTCCTCGGGCTCCACAGCCCACGTCTAACGGGTAAGCACCCAGTCGAATCCTCTAAAAGTGTTCAAATGGAGCTTGCAGTTGTAGGATACACTCACGCACACAGTCCTCCGCTGGAGCCCCACGCTTCGGCCTCCACAGCTGAGGGGGAAGTCTGCTGGTTCTCCCGTCTCCGAGCCATCCTCTCCCAGCCAAGCGCTCCCATTGAATCCCCACGAGACATGAAATTTCTTCACTTTATGAGGGTCGGTTGATGTGATGAGCATGTGAGCGAGGTCTTTGTTCGCCCCCAAGTCTCATGACTCCAGTTCAAGGTAATCCTTTTGGGAGTCCCATGACCCTTTTCTTAGCATGCCCACGGGGTATTTTCATCCCTCCCCTGAACAAGGCACAATAAATCCACTTTGATAACTGGCCCCTAATCTCCCAATTTGTTGAAACCTTTCTTTTTTTTTTCCCCCTCTCGTTTCCACTTCGCCATGTGAATGATCCCAGCTCCTTGTGAGAGGACAGAGCAGAAATAGCGGTTCTCCCATTCTCCGTTAAAAAATACCCGACACTCCACTACTTTGATTTCAATCTAATTTGCATAATTGAGAGAATTGGGATGCAGGCATTCTTTTGGAAGGCGTCTTGTTAAGAAGTGACTGGTGTCCAGTCGGGGGCGAGGTCAGTCAATGCTAATTGCAGTTAATCTCTATTTCCACCCACTAGTTTTTTTTCTCAGAGAGGAAAGCAAAAAAAAAAAAACAACAACTCAGAAAAGCAGCTATTAAATATTCTTCTAAACCATAAAAATTAAAGATGTTTAGTTGGATTTAAATATGACACTGACAGGCCAAAATCTATGTATAAAAATACGATTTGGTTTAAATAAGACTTTTATTTTACTAGTTTTAAATAAAGGAAGGCGTGAAGCGAGCCAAAGTTTGGGTTGGAGTTTAAAAGCTCCAATTAGAGCAAATCTGTTCAAATCTTTCCATGTATGAAAAGTTTCATAAGTGCTCCTTTTATGGCTAAAAGGGTCAGTTTGAGCCAGAGAGCAAAACTCAGAGAGAGAAAAGAAAACAAAAGCTCCAACAAGTCGGTGGCTGATGACACAGAAACTGTTTGGGAGAATATGTCTCTGAGAACTGTCCCTCTTTCCAGCATGTTATAAAGCAGATGTGAACCACTGTTCATTATCAGCTCAACAAAACCAAAACAGCTTATTTTCAGGAGGGTTTGGGCCGGTATGACGCAGTTATTTCAGTCTACTTAAACTCATTAACCACAGCAATTAAAGCCAAAACCCAGAGCGGTTTTTTTGAGCGTTTCGAGCAACAAAGACCCCCGAAGAATCAGGCACCGAAGGATCAGATTGTGTCACACCGAGTAAATTATCWGGACTTAAGGCGAGCCTCGGGACGAAAAAAATAAAATAACAGCATTCATTCCAACATGGAGACTTTTCGCAGAAAAAGCTCCCTGAAAACAAAAGACAATGTGTGTGAGGTTTTACAYAAACAAGTCCCGGCTTGTTGAGGAGGAAACAGACGCAAACTGTACTCCATTAGCTGCGCTGATGAAATTATGACTGAAAATTTAACTGTATGATGCTTCAGTACAGTTGAGATACTTTGATGCTCTATGTAGAAGCACACACAGGCCAATAAAACAGTATTCTACCCAGTCTTTTCTCCTTTTCTTRTTACAGATATCACATGATTCTGGTCTCCTGATTCAAAGCTCAGCCACGTCTAAAACACAACCCATCCGGTTCAGTGAAGCTATGTGTTATCTACACAAATCAACACAGAAAAACTCAAACAACTTTTCTGATATTCTGTTACTTTTAACTATGAATATGTCAAAATTTGTCCTCATCAGCATAAAAGTGACAAGAATCCAAAACGATTTGGGAGCGCTGTAAAGAATTTTATGTCACTGGAATTGATGTATTGAAGTAAAAACAAATATTTGCTTAAATATAACATTAAATGACACTTTGGTTATGCTTTATGACCAGAAAACAAGATGTAAACTCTCCTTATATTGTCAAAAATATTTCAAACTTGCATTACACTGCGTTTTACACATTTTCTCTTGGGGAGGATGTGTTTTTTTTAGGCCACCCCCCCCCC